GCAGCATGAAGAGGTCGACAAGCGCGACATCATCGGCAGCATCCTCGGCGCTCTCAATGGGAACCAGCTGGCGCCCGTCACCGTCACCGAGACGATGCGCATGACCGTCAGCGTGGGCAACCCTGGAGCCATGGAGACCATGACCGTCACCGTCACCGCGCCTGCCTCTCCGCCTGCGCCTGCGCCTCCCGCCGCGAGCCTCTGCCTCCTGGCCAACTCCCTCCCGGCCAACTTCCTCCCGGCGTACTGCCTCCCGATCAACTCCAGCCCGGCGAGATGCCCCCTGGCGTGCTCCCTGGACATATGCCTCCCGGTCAGGCACCCGGACAGATACCTCCGAGCCAGGCGCCCGGGCAGGCTCCCGGCATGGAAGGGTACGCATCACGAGTGGAATGGCCCACACTTGATTTGCTGACATCTTCCTAGACAAGCTCCGAGCCCAATCATCATGACCCCCGAGGTCATTACCGTCACCGCCGCCGCCCCGCCGCCGCCGCCCCCTGTCACCGTCACGCAGACTCTCACCGTCATGCAGCCTTGTGGTGTGCCTGCTGCTCCGGCTCCGGTCCCAGCTGCTCCTTCGGCCCCGGCCATTCCTTCAGCTCCCGCCGCTCCTTCAGCACCGATCGTCTCTCCGCCCGCTCTTCCATCGGCAAGTACCTCGACGCCAATTGTCGACGAGATTCCGAAAGGGCCCGCCTCATCACCGCTGCCGCCTCCCCAGCCTCCCACGGAGCCCGTCCTGCCGCCACCTCAGACAAGCGCTATCGCGCAGCCGGTCCTCAGCGCCCCGAGTGCCCCCAGCGCCCCTGCTCAGCAGTCTTCCAGCAGCAGCAGCAAGTCAACTCCCCCGGCTGCCGAAATCACCCCGCCGGTCGTCGCGGCTCCTGCTCAGCCTGGCGCAGGCCTCGATGGCCTCACGCTTACGAACCGTTTGAATTTGGGCAACTTACTGCAAAACACGGCCAATTTGCAAGCTCGCGCGACACCGGCCGTGTAACGCGTGAGGAGGAGATGATGTCTGGAGCAGTGAAGTGGAGGAAGTTCGTGAAGAGAGAAGCCAACTAGGTGGAAGAGTTGGGGAGGTGGTGGGTTGCTCACAAGGCTCTGGTCTCTGATCTCGATTCTGTCGCAGCGCGTCACACAAGGGAAGGCTCAGGCACGCCCTGTCTCTGGCAGTCTGGGGCTCGTGGCTTGCGGCCTGTGGACTTGGTGGGAAATACACTTGACCTGTTGTACATAATCTTTTTAGTTCTAGCATCCTGCAGCATACAGATGAGACAGGGGCGCCTGGGGTGAGCAAGTCTCACGCCAGGGCCGAATCAAGTATACCCATAGAGCGCAGTGGTCTCTTGGTACGGCACTTTGCATGAGATTGAGAAGAAATTTCTCTCTTTATGTGTAGGGGGTATCATTCGGTTTCGACCGTATTGGTTTGTCATGCTCGGGCAGCCGAGATTTTGTCTATGCCTTCTCCGTCGTCGTCGGCGTCGTCGCCGCCGCCTCCTTCTGAGCTAGCCGTAGCTTCTTTGCCTGCCGTTTGCTGATCGCCTGAGGCTGCTCAGCCCCGACGGCGGTCCCAGACTCGTCGTTCTTGCGCTTGGTCGCGTTCTTGCCCTTCTTGCCGGCCTCTTGCGGCGTGCCTGTCCCTGCGTCTGCCCCTGTATCTTTCATCTCCGTGTCCCCGGCCCGCGCAGCCGTCTCCCATCATTGATGACGCTCTTGTACGACGTCCTCTTGAGCCCCTCGTGAGTGG